CTGCAAATTATCTCTAGTGTGAAGATAGAGCCCAAATTTATACTATGAGTAATCATAAGACCCAATTTATGCTGTTTTATTTCAAGGGCTCTAAGTGGAGGTCCTTTGTGTCCATCATTGTCTGGAATCCTTAAAATGGCCTATAGTTAGGTTTGAAGTAAAAAAAAAGATTTTTTAAAAAAAATTAGGAACACAAGCTCTATTAGAAAATGAAGGTATAATTAAAATCTTTTTTGTTATTCATACGCTAGAAAGGTCATGCAGCATAGCTTTCTAGTTGCAAGATCTGTTGAGCTGAATTCAAAACTATTAATATTCATGCAAACCATTTATCCCGCCAAATTGCTTTCAGATTTACTATATGAGTTCATTCTTTCAAGATTTTACTTGTGGGAATTACCAGATGTTGGCTGGTTGCCCAGTCCTAGATTTTTCTTAGTCTGAGTACTTTTAAATAGAGGAACAGGAGTCATTGGAAACCCACAATGGAAAATTGATATAATGTGGCGTGGGGGAAAGATGCATCAATCAGAACTCTTCCTAATAATAAATTTAGAAAAGAAGTAATTTTTTTTAGCCCCAGTAGGGGCACTGAGAAATAAAGGGTTAGCTGCATGCCTAAAGAAACCTTAAAATTGACTGAAATAAAAAAAATGAGTTTAAAAAATTACACACTTTTCAAAATCTGTCATTTAATAGCCGGAACATGCTTGCGTTGAGAAGAAAAGACACAGCACACCAACATGGAATGGAGTACCACTGAAACAATATAGCCAGCTGGAACAGTGAACAGGAATATGGCATAACAACTATCTGCATAACACATTTATGTTCTATAATGTATTTGTTAAAAATATCAAGGGATTCCACTGCATTTCTAGCTTCGCCAATAGGAATGTTAATTCTTCCTGTGAATTTGTCAAATTGCTGGGGACAATAGAGGATGTTCAAAATAAAGAACTGATGCAAGTAGCAATAGACTTGTGCTACAAAGCTTGAATTTTAACTGTTCTTGTTTTTTGTGAGGGGCTTTTGTGCTTGATGAATTTTGTCCTTTTAAAAGCATCTTTTGAATAGAATAGAGCTGGAAGGGATCTTGGAGGTCTTCTAGTCCAGCCCCCAGTCTCCTGCTCAAGCAGGAGAACCTATACCATCTCAGACAGATGATTGTCTAGTCTCTTCTTAAAAATCTCCAGTGATGGAGCGCCCACAATTTCTGGGGGTAAGCTATTCCACTGGTTGATTGTCCTCATTGTCAGGAAGTTTCTCCTTAATTCCAGGTTGCTTCTGTCTTTGATCAGTTTCCAACCATTTCTAGAGGCAAGCTGTTCCACTGATTGATTGTCCTCACTGTCAGGAAGTTTCTCCTTAATTCCAGATTGCTTCTCTCTTTGATCAGTTTCCAACCATTGTTTCTCGTCCTTCCGTCTGGTGCTCTGGTGAACAACGTGACCCCCTCTTCTTTGTGGCAGCCCCTCAGATACTGGAATACTGCTATCATGTCTCCCTTATTTCTTCTTTTCTTTAGACTAGCCAAACCCAAGTCCCGCAGCCGTTCTTCGTATGTTTTAGTCTCCAGGCCTTTGATCATCTTAGTTGCTCTTCTCTGAATTTTTACTAAACTCTAAACATCTTTTTTTTGATATGGTGACCAAAATTGGCTGCAGTATTCCAGGTGTGGTCTTACTAGGGTTTCATAAAGCAGTACTAATACTTTGCGTGATCTTGATTCTATGCCTCTGTTTATACAACCCAGGATTGTATTAGCTTTTTTGGTTGCTGCTGCACACTGCTGGTTCATAGTCAAGTGATCGTCCACTAGGACTCCAAGATCCCTCTCACAGTTACTGTTTTTAAGCCAGATCTCGCCCAATTTGTACTTGTACCTTGATTTTTCCTGCCTAAATGTAAAACTTGGCTTTTCTCCACATTGAAAATCATTTTGTTGGATAGGGCCCATTGTTCAAGTTTGTCTAGATCTTTTTGGATCCTGAGTTTGTCTTCTGGGGTGTTGGCTTCTCTTGTCAGTTTGGTGTCATCTATAAATTTGATGAGTTCCCCTTCAACTCCCTCATCTAAGTCATTGATGAAGATATTGAAGAATACTGGGCCTAAGATGGAACCTTGTGGTACCCCACTGCTTACTTTTCTCCATGTGGATGTAGTGCTATTGAGGACTATTAGTTGAGTAGGTTTGTCAGCCAGCTACAGATCTATCTGGTGGTGATGTTGTCTATTCCACCTTTTTCTATCTTACCAAGGAGTAGGTTGTGATCTACTTTATCAAATGCCTTACTGAAATCTAAGTATACTACGTCCACAGCATTTCGCTGGTCTACTAGTTTAGTCACTTTATCAAAGAATGAAATAAAATTGGTTTGGCATGATCTGTTTTTAACAAACCTGTGCTGGCTACTGGTTATGATTTTGTTTGCTTCTAGTTGTTTGCAGATCTGTTTTTTGATTATCTTTTCTAGGATCTTCCCAGGTATTGATGTTAAACTGATTGGTCTGTAGTTTCCTGGGTCTATTGTTTTTCACTTTCTTGAAGATGGGAACCACATCAGCCCTTTTCCAATCCTCAGGTACTTCCCCGGTGCTCCAGGATTTATGAAAGATGTGGTGCAATGGTTCTAAGATAACCTCTGCCAGCTCTTTCAGAACTCTGGGATGTAATCTGTTGTGTCCTGGTGATTTATATTCGTCAAGGTCGGATAGGTGTTCTCTTAACATTTTCTTGCTTATTTTAATTTTTGTTTCTAGTATGTCTTTTGCAGTGGTTTTTTTGGTATGTTGGGCTATAGGTTCTTTTTCTGTGAAGACTGATGCAAAGTATGAGTTAAGCAGCTCTGCTTTCTCCCTGTTGCCTGTTATTTCCTTGCTCTTCTCTCTTTAACGGCTTACAGTTTCCTTGACTTTTTTCTTGTTGTTAATATGTTGGAAGAAACTTTTTTTTTATTATCCTTGATTTCTATTGCAAGTCTTTGTTCGTTCTGAGCCTTTGCTTTCCTGACTTCAGCTTTGCATGTTCTGGCTGTCTGCTGATAATTGGCCTTATCTATGTGCCCCTCTTTCCATTTTTTGTATTTGTCCTTTTTGTCTTTCAATTTGTCAGAGATCTTTGTGCAGCCATGCTGGTTTCTTCTTGAATTTCTTGTTTTTCTTTCTCAATGATATTGTGCTGGTCTGGGCTTTTATAATTGCATTTTTCAAGATTTCCCACGCTTCTTGGGTTGTTTTCCCCTTTAGGATTTTCATCCATGGGAATTTTCCTAGGTTCTCTCTGAGTTTGTTAAAGTCAGCTCTTTTGAAGTTTAAGACACTGGTTGGATTGTTTTCTATTGCTAGTGTTTGCATTATATTAAATTCCAGTATGATGTGGTCACTTTCACCCAAGGTTCCGGCAATTTCAATTCCCTCTATCACTTCTCTATTTGTAAGGATTAAGTCCAATATAGCTTTACGTCTAGTTCCCTCCTCCAACTTTTGGGTGACAAAGTTGTAGGCTAGGTTGATTAGGAATCTGTTTAATCTCCTGCTCAGTGCTCTTTGTCTCACAGTTGATATCTGGATAGTTGAAGTCTCCTATTACTATTGTGGTATGCTTCCTATATACATTTGTTAACTGGTTGGCAGAGTTCATCTATTTCTTCTGATTGGTTGGGTGGCCTGTAATATACACCTATGGCAGTCACTTTTTTTCCTTTTATATTGATCCATATAAATTCTGGAGATTTTATCTTTGATCATGTGCATTTCTGTAGATATGTAATGTTCTCTGACATATAGTGCAACTCCCCCTCCTCTTTTTGTATACCTGTTTCTTTTGAACAATTTGTATCCATCAGTCCATTCCATTCATGGGTTTTATCCCACCAGGTTTCTGTTATGCCAACTATGTCATACCCACCCTCATGCACTATTGCTTCTAGTTTGCCCTGCTTGTTCCCCAAGCTTTGAGCATTTGTATATAAGCATTTAAGACTTTTATGCCTGTCCATGGGTATGTTTCCTGCATCTCCTGATTGTTTAAGTTTTTCTTTTTTCTTATCATTCCCTACCTCATTGTTTGATTTGTTTTCTTGGGATTTGTGATTGGTTTTGGGTTCTACAGATTCTAGAGATTGGCTTTAGTTTAAAGCCCTCCTGATGAGTTGGGCCAGTCTTTTTCCAAGTACATTTTTGCCTGTTTTCGTGAGGTGGAGCCCATCCCTTGCCAAGTGTCCTTCACATAGGAAATGCTTTTAATTTGCTTTTCTTGCCTTCCCTGCCCACTTATTCTCACTTCTGTCCAGTTTTCAATTTTCTTGATTTTCCAGTGCAGTTACCCCTTTTCTTCTACCCATCCTGTTTTTTATTTTTGTTGTTTCTGATGGAAGGAGGGGGTGAGAGAATGTATAAATATACAGGGTTTCTGAATAGTTGGTATTTGCAGACGAGACAAAATAACTTCTAAATGGAATGCCATTATGTAGACAATATTATTATGGCATTATTATTACTATTGCTATCATTAGTATGGTTCTGGCCCTGGTCTTTTTTCTAATCTGATATCTGGCAGACCTTACCCCTCTGTCAACAAGTGTATTATGGGAGAGAAATCTCCAGGATTGGTTTCAGCTTTGATTAGGGAAAATGCATTGCACAGATTTGTGTTTATAATTCCTTCTTGCTTATTTCTATTTCTGGAGGGATTCTCTTAAATCTGTCTTTTTATTTATTACTGAATTTCCCCATTATTTGTAAAAATATTCCAAGTTGAGATGTCAAAAATGCACCAATCTAGGATAACATTTTGGAGAATCTGGAAAATTCCATTCCTTCACCAGATCATGCTCTTCTGGGATTTTACATACTTAGTACTTTTTAGTGGGTTTTCCCCCCTACCTATTTGCAACCCTTATTCAAGTTCCTACTGTGTAATCTAGCTTGTTTATAGATGAACTGTGGTTTTTGACATTGTGCAACATGCAAAGCGAACTTGAGAAAAGAAAAAGAGATCCATATAACCTCTGTTTATTGTAAAACAATGATATATAGAAGGCACTGATTAGGCAATTGTTTATACATGAAGTCTCTTCAATATAAAGGGACTGCATATTGCATTCCTTAAGATGTATACATTTAACATGATAAAAAAAAGCCTACTAAGAAAATGAGAGATAATTTTATGGCACATTCATTCCAGTCATTCTTTAAACCTGCTGGCGCTCTCCAGATTGGGTGAGCCTACAGCCAGAAGACTATTCAGCTGGGAATTTTAGAAGCTGCAGCTCTAGAAGACATCGGTGAGAAAGGCTGCTATAAGCCCAAAATATACCATGCAATTCAAATTTAACAAGGTCAGCTTTTCATGATGTAAAGATTATACTTCATCCATCAAAATATTGTTTTAATGTTAAGTCATAAAGAAAAAGGAAAATATTCAGCAGGTAGCCCCAAGGTGACTCCTCAAATTTACAACCATTCAGCCAATACGCTTCCCATTTACTGTGGACTACATATCACTGACACTTTCTATAACATTCCAAGATATTAAGCTCTGATTCAAAGCACCTCTTTTAATGTGTTATGTTTATATACGTATCTGAAAAGATTGTTTATTCTATATTTGAGAGGGACAAATAAACGTGTGCACCGCACACCTCTTTGGATTCAATTACAACAAAATATGGAGTGCATAATGTAGCACCTGTCTGCTGCTATGTAAAGCAGCCTGTCTTTTCCTGGAACAGTACCACAGCTTGCAGCCGGATAATCCTGGAAAAGATGTAGCTGCTTTAATGAACTGAACAGATGCTGTGTTGAGTATCCTGAATTTTCTTTTTTGGATTAAATCTGAAGCATTGCACAACCCTTGTGAAAATAATGCCCAATGAGTGAAAGTTAGGCTACGCAGTAAAATTTTCCAAGCCAGAATACAGCCAAGCTCTGACAGCAGATGACTTCTGGATCCAAAGACATGGATTTGAGTATTCCTTCTGCCAGTTCTTTACCATCCATTTTACAAAAAAAAAACAACCAACCCCCACCCCTCCAGTTCATAGTTACTATCTGCCACAGCTACTTACAATTCAAAGCTGTTTGGAATTATCAACTTGCCAAGATATGATAAATGTTGGAGCAATAAAAAATAATGTATTTTTCCATGATTCTGAAAACCTGGTAGTTATTTAGAAACTGAAATAATCCAAGATTTAAAATCATTCTAGCTATACGGATAACTGCAATACCAAAAACTCTAGGCTTCAACAGCCTTTAATGTTGAACATAGAACCAGCTCTGTAAATGTCTCTTCAGTAATCGGGAGTCTTATCCTGAATCAATGAAAGCAACATAGAATGCAGAGACTCCTATTATTTGCAACAAAAGGCAGAAACTCCTTGCATTCTGCAATAAGATAATCCTAATGTGGTTATCTTCCTTCTTTCTTCAACATATTTTCTCAATGTTAAGAGAATCAGACTTCAATACTTGACCTGTCTTCAGACTTCTGAGAGCCTGAAACTGTCCAGAGAGCTAAAGGAGACTCCATCCATGTCGACTGTGATGTCAAGTTGCCATTAAACACATCATCTATTGAAACTGCAAGATAATATAAATACATATGTAATATCTAAAAAAATAGTAAACTTCTCCACCCTGACCAAATATATTGATCCAAACAATTCATAATTTCCAGACATTCCAGTTCGCTGGATGTTTAAAAACTGAAAAAGTGTGTAAACCTAGTGGTTTGTAAACTCCAGCTTATATCTTACCATATTGTAGAAACACGATCCATTGTGTCTTATTCAACAAACAACAATGTCTTACTGCAATGTGTGAACTTAATCACAGAATAAAGCTGTTTTACCTATGAAGAATGTAATATTTAAAATATCATAGTAGTTTACCAACTCACCTCTAGAGATAATGCTGAACTTCCTGTCTGAAAAGCTGTTTGAACGCAAATTTGGTTCACTCATTTTATCCAGAAATTTAGTTATAATTTCTTTCTTCTCTGGATTGGTACTTGACAAATTAAGAACTTTCCCATTCATTGAAACAGTGCTCTTGCTGAACCCAAACCAATAAAAGAAATCAAATAAGGCATCAGTTTTGAACTCATAGGAGAAACTTAAACTTTCTTCATTAACCAGATAGGCTTCTGAAGGAAAAAACTTCTTTACAGCATCTTGGAAGTTAAACTGTACAGAGAAAAGAAAAATGGTTATTAATTGATTGATTGGCCTAATGCTCCAGGAATGGATGTAGCCCTTAAAAGCCTGCCCCCCCCCCAGACACACACACAGACCTTGGAGCTCCTTACAGCTACCATTTCTGAAAACTAACTTCATGGTTTCCTCCCATTTTGAACTAGGAAATGCATTAAAATTGTAACTCTACATTTAACATACAGTAACTTCTAAAAAACTATCCTTCTGAACACTTAGGAAAGAGCTTTCAAAATTCTAGCCATATTTATCCATGACATACTATCTCTCACTTGTCCAAAAACTTAAATGAATGCTCCAACACTGGCAGCTTTTAAGAAGAGACTGGACAGCCATTTGTCCGAAATGGTATAGGGTTTCCTGCCTGAGCAGGGGGTTGGACTAGATGATCTCCAAGGTCCCTTCCAACTTTATTATTATTATTATTATTATTGAGATCCCCGCAAATTGTTCAGCCATATAAACAAACAAACAAACAGGTGATTAACATGGATGACAATAGTAGTATAAAATCCCGATGCCTTAAACAGTTGAGATTCAGCTAGCCTTTGTATCTTTAGAAATGAAGATTAGCTGTTACATTTTTGTTCCAGAATGGTAGATAAAATCTGATACCAGCAATATTAACAGGTGACTACTAATGCAATTCGTCTGCATTTTTCAGCTTGAGATCTGATTTTAAACAATAGGTCTCATGGCTATTACAACATCTGAATTTATTCTTGGACTGTCCTGCTTCTTCCTCTTCTGCTCTGTACATGATATTGCCAAATATTATATAGTCTTCCAGAATTTTGGGAGGGCTTAGCAGTATAGATGAGACAGTAGAATTAAGGTTTTTAATTACTTTTTAATTAGACAATTTAAATATTTCATTTTAATTAATTTTAACTTGTGATTGTTAGTGGTGTTTTTAATTGATTGTCAGCCGCCCTGAGTCCGCAAGGAGAAGGGCGGGATATAAATTCAAATAATAAATAAATAAATAAATAAAGGTTGCTGGAAACATTGTAAAAATGCAATTTGTCTGTTACCATCATTTTAAATGGCCATCAGAAAGTACCATATAATAATGCCTGCTTGGGTATACAAAAGGGGAGGGGGGAAGTAAAGCACAATATCTCTACACAGACCATCAGAAATGTTGCCATCCACTAACTTTTATGCATTTAGCAACATATATGTAGACATGTTCTATCCCAAAGAACCTAGAGCTTAATTAAAAGCTGTTTTTGGAGCATGTTTGAGCTCCAGCTCAGATTTTAATAACTGTTGGATAATTAGGCCTGAGCTGTCACATAGCAAAATATTAGAAAACTTGAATCCACATTCACTTTTCACTGTCTTTGGGTAGATTTATGGCTGTATGAATATCCATCCAGGGGAAAGACTTTGCTTTTCTAATTTATCCAAAGAACAATGTCCTTTGCTCCTTAAAACTTATCCAAAATACTAACTTGAAGATAGAAAGCTTACATTAAACAAAAAATCTGCCCAACTCACCTGAAGTTTATAGCTTTCCCCAATCACAGATGAGATTACATTGTTCATGCTGTTCTCCATCTGCCTTCTCATCTTTGGGTGTCGAGTATTCACAAGTAAAGTATATGTTTTTTCTAAAGGGATTTAACATTGGTAATGTAGACAATAATAATAAACATTTGCAGATCTCAAATATTTTTCTTACTTATACATAATAAGTTTTGCCCCTGGGTGGTTCTATTCATTACAAAACAAGCATTTTTTTAAAATATTTTTTTCTGAACCTGTACATTCCTAAGAAGGCATTTTTATGGGGAATAAGTCAGCCTTCTTCAGACTTCCTTATCGCTTTCTAAAATATTTTCTTATCTTGGGTGTTGTTTAGAACCAATTTCATACAGTACAAGTAAATATGATGTTTGAATTCCCTCCTATTCAGTTATGTTGGCCCCAAGTCAGTTTAAGACATTTCAGTTCTCTAAAGCTTTTTGTTTAATTGGACAACTGTGCATTTGAGCAGGATAGAAATGCCTTCGTTTTACAACTTTTCAAGAAATTTGTGGTTTTATATGTTTCATTTTAAGTGTTTATACTGAATTTCAGTAAAACCACTTTTAACAGATTCCTAGGGGGAGAGGATGTCCATTACTTTTAACTACACAATACATATGAAAGCCATTGTGATTTGTGTCATTAGTGTAATAATGCCATGAGGTAAATGAGGCAAATCACATCATATATCTCAATTTATGACATTACATCTGGACTATTTAAGATTAACCAATCTGCCTGATGAAAATTGGGTCTGTTGCATTGGAAATAAACTAAATAGGGCTTTCAAATAACACTACAATTATTAATTTTTAATTATAATTATTCTAAAGGGTTATTAATTGTAAATATTTTTATAATTAATATTGTTAGCATTGTTATTGAAACAAGAATGTGGAATATAAGTTTTATAAATAAATCTGTTAGGGTTTTTTTCAGGTTTATTAATGATGTTTCAAGATTCTTGGTCATTTAAATTGTTTTATTGCCTTCTACTATAAATGATTTTTATCTTAGGAGAGCCAAAATAATAAATTTTCAAAACAAATAAGACACATCAGAGAATTCTTATTTAAAGTCTATTTTATACTTCATTGCTTTTATGCTACATATTTCTGATTTAGAGTTTAATACTGAACAGAATTCTTCTCTGACTTTCTAAGATGCAATGACTATTTTATCATCCTGTTCCACTTTAGTAAATCTTATGAATAGCACCTTTGTTGATATAACAAGCTCAACTGCTGTAAGTTATACAGACTACTCCATTTTCTTGCAGCTGGCTGGAGAAAGGCTTGGATTCAATTAAAGGTGCTATTGTTTTACTTACAGAATCTCTTACAGAAAAGCAACCTACTTAACCATATATAAGAACCCAAGGTATGTAAAAACACTTTCATAAGCAACATGCTCCTTAGGAATTTGGCATTTTTAAATTTAACACTATTAGAGCAAGAGCCATGTTTTTATAAAATTAAAATATTTCATACCCTTACATTCTAATCTTACCAGTTTCGCAGAGACATCACAACCTGCCCCTTTACCCCAATTCAATCATGCCATTTTGAAGTAAGAATCCAATTATCTTTTTATAAGCAAGGCAGTCAGTCTGTACATTTTACAATAGCCTTGTGGTACATACCTTTTGTAGAATTATATTTTGTTCTGACATTAATGAAAAACACCAATGGCCGACCCAGTATAGTCTCTCTGTAGTTTTTGTAATCATGATGGCTATTCAACTCTACGTGCCTGTTGAAGAAAATAAAGTGTAAATTTTCAGGCATTGATTAAATGTAGAATTTAAAAATGCGATTTTGTGCAAACTCATGATAAGTTCTTGAAGGCGCTTTAAAAGCAGTACATCACGTGACGTGTCGTGATGTAGCGTGACTTTTTTTGCATTGCTGGAGCTGAGGTGGGCGTGGCCTCCATATGATACAACCGGCCCACAGGCCAGGAGTTTGACACCCCTAATAGTTTCTTTCAAATCTCACAGTCTGCCCCACCATAGATTTGTATGGCCCATCCGATGTGGGAAAAGGAGTTAATAAATGTGTTAAAATTACAGGAGGAGCAAAAAATGGAAAAGATAATTTATGGAGGATTGCAGGACAACTAGAAGCAGCATTTCAGTCACAACTGAGATGACACTAGTCCTCGCCCCCAAGTCTTCCTCTTTCTCCAGAAAAATAACTGGAAAAAGAGGAAATGGTAGCAATGCAGACTGACTATCATACAGAATAGAAGGTCTATGCAAAGCTTCAAATTCACTCCAAGAAGTGTTTTGCAACACACTGGGATGCAAATTTAGCACTTACCTGCAATTACTTAAAGCAACTACCTTTTCCTAGGATTGTTGTGACAACTGCATGATCCCAGAAAAAGATGCAGCAGCTTTAAGGACTTGTCTGCACTTTGATGTGCTCCAAAGCATGTTTTTTT